AGAACCCGACCATGCTGGCACCCAGATCTCAGATTTCCCAGCCTCCAAAGCTGTGGGAAATAAACCTCTGTTGTTTAAGCCACCCAGCCTGTAGTGTTTGTTATAGCAGTAAAACAGGCCAAGATAACCTACTTGCTAATGCAAGAGGCAGACAATAAATATGGTAGGTATATTTTTCAGGATAGGCTAGGTTATTCTGCAATAACATACAAACCCCAAAATCTTAATAGCTTGAAACATAAAATGTTTATTTCTCATTGATGCTGCATGTGTATCACAGCTTGGCAAAAGAATCTGCTTATCATAGTTACTCAAAATCCCAGACTGATGGTTGCCATCCTCCTGGAAAAAGTGCACTGTAAGAACTCACAACGGCAGTTAAATGTTTAAAGGCTGTGGTCTAGAAGTGATTTGTCATCACTTATGCTCACTATTCTTTTGTCAGCACTAGTAACCTGTCCCCACCCAACCACTAGGGGGCCAGGAAGTGTCCCAAAGGAAGAAGCTGAGCAGACACTGGTGACTACCACAGTCTGCCCTTCTGATCTTTAGATATCAGCTTTACATTTCTTCCCATGTGCAAAATACATGCCTACTCTCTTCCAGGTAAATAAGCTCAAAAGTTCTATCCTATCATAGTATCAAGCTCAAAGTCCAGGATCTCACAGTAGTTGGGCTGAGATATGTCTTCTCTTGATCTGAAGACATATGAACTAAGTAAATAAAATATCCACCACCCATGTACCTAGTATATAATTGTAGTAAGAACAGGATTACCCATTCAGTAATTCAAGAAATATTTATTGAGCACCTGCTATAAGCAAGGTGTAATGATAAATACTGTATCTAGTATACAACAAAGTACATAACAAAGTATAGACACTCCCATTTGAAAAGGGGAAGAATGGGATGTAGACAGCAACTATTAGTCTGTGGCAATTCTGGAATCCTATCCAGGCAGGCATTGCAAGGGTCCTGTCCATTAGGGTGATCAATGTTCCTTGATTAGGCTCCAGTTCTGATCCATGGTAGCCCCTCTTCCCCCAGTGCATTGTTTTCTGTAGTCCTTAGCTCCACCTTCTAGATGGTTTTTTCTCATGACCCCCTTATCCTTACCCTAAGTGAGCATTGGATAACATGTTCTCCTTGAAGCCTGAGCAGCTTTGTCAGACTATATCCTCCTCACACAAGATTGAGGTCCCAGCATCATTTCAAGTCTATTTATAGTTTCCTTTGGCCCTGCCTAATAGATATTTTGGCACCGCTCTCAAAAACTTAGGCAGCTTCTTCCACGTCTGATTCAAGACAGCTCCATGTGCCATAGTCACAGCCACTATACTCATACTTCCTGAAACACACTTTCTCTTTTATTTGTCCTTTAGTTACCTTGAGCCTTTCCGGCTCCATCATAGGAAGACCTGTACCATTTTAACCAACTGAAAGGATTCACAAAGTGGGTACCACTTTAATTTATTCAGAGGTTTTAGTCATGAGTGTGACCATCATACCCTTAATTTGACCTTACCACAACGCTGAGTTTTGATTGGCCTTTGTTACCCATATCAGTTTTGTTTTTTAATGATAAAGTATGAGAATCACCTGCATCTTCCAATTGTTCAGGTCTCCAAATTTCTGGACTCCTTATAATCACTTTTATTCCCAATTACGAACTGGATAATGATTTTCTGAACTCATCTTTTCCCTTCTTATGTAATCAATAGTTACCAACACGTGCCACTAGCTTTCTATTCTCCAGCCTCTTTCACTGGAGCTACAAGTTTATAGGGCACATTACCTGCTTTCCATGCTTCACCATCTATCACAGGAGTTGCCAAATGTTTCACTCCTGTAACATGAATCACCATCCTTATGGCTTCTCATATCACTTCCTATGTTGTGTACATCTAGATCTTAAGCCAATGCCATTTTTTTGAAATTTTTGTTCCAGTAACATCCCCATTGTGGCAATTTCTGTATTAGTCAAGATTGGTTCAATGTCGCTCCAGCAAAAAACACCAAGATCTCAGTGGCTTAAAATGGTAAAAGTTTAATTCTTATTCATAGTACACATTCATCATGGGACAGGAGGGAATGCACTGCTCCTTGCAGTCACTCAGGAATCCAGGCTGACTATGTACTACTATTTTGAAGGTTGCTTATTGCTGTAGCAGAAAGAAAACAAGAGCTCTGAAGGGTCTTGCATGGACAAGCCTAGAAGTTACTCGTATTACTTCTGCTCATAACTAATAGGCCAAAATTAGGTACAT